GCATGGTAGAGTAATAGTAGTAGCATTTCACATACGTAGCATTAGAGTAGTTAGTTAGTTATCGGTCAGTAGGCGGATAGGGTCAGTAGGAGTAGTAGCTAGTAGAGTTCATCAGTACGGTAGCAGTATGAGTTAGTAGTTATCGCAGATACAGTAGCGGTGAGCAGTAGAGTTAATAGTAGTTAGGGTCACATGTTAGCGCGTACAGGATAGAGTGAAGTAGTAGTAGGCCGTTTATATTATTTCGGTTGCAGTTAGAGTAAGTAAGTATTGTAGCGGTCACAGTAGCGTAGTCTGTTAGAGTAGTAGTAGTAAGTCAGTCACAGTTAGGTAGCAGTAGATAGTAGTAGATATTGCGTCACAGAGTAGGTCGGTTAGTCATAGAGTATTTTATTTTAGTCTATTCATCATTTAAAAGCGGTATCTTTAGATGTATTTTGTATGTAGTAGCAGTCACAGTAGCGGTTAGCAGTAGAGTAGTAAGTAGATTAGGGGCAGTCACAGTAGCGGTTACAGTAGGAGTATAGTATAGCATTCCACCGTAGGGTATGAAGTAGAGTATAGTTATAGCAGTTCTACAGTTACTGGTGCATTTAGTTAGTAGTAGTAGTAGGTCAGTCACAGTTAGTGCGTAGCAGTAGAGTAGTAGTAGTAGCAGCACAGTAGCGTAGCAGTGAGAGTAGTAGGTAGTAGCAGTATAGTAAGTCGTTGGCAGTAGAGTAAGTAGTAGTAGCAGTCACTTAGTAGCGGTTAGCTAGTGAGAGTAGTAGTAGTAGACGTACATGTACAAGCAGTAGTAGTAGTAGTCGTAAGCGGGTACAGTTAGCGTAGCAGTAGAGTTAGTAGTAAGTTTAGCAGTCCGCGAGTAAGGCGGTTAGCAGTTAGAGATGTTAGTTATTTAGCGGTCATTAGTAAGGTATTTCATTGTAGAGTAGGTAGTAGTTAGCGGTCAAAGTAGCGGTTAGCTATTAGAGTAGTATTAGTTAGCTAAGTCACAGTAGCGTAGCTAGTATGAGTATAGTAGTGAGCAGTCAACAGTATCGTAGTAGTAGCGTAGTAGTAGTTGCGGGCCACAGTAGCTGTTAGCAGTAAAGGTAGTTAGTAGGTATGCAGTCACAGTCGGTAGCAGCTTAACAGTAGTAGTAGTACGGCTCACTAGTATTGCTCTTGTGTGCTCGTAATTAGTAGTAGTTAGCGGTACGACAGTAGGCTGTAGCAGTAGAGTATTACAGTGTTATTTTATTGTTAGTAGTATAGGCGGTCTACAGTAGCGGTGGCAGTAAAGTAGTAGTAGTAGCAGGCACAGTACGGTCGGCAGTAGAAGTATAGTAGGTCGTAGTAGGCGGTCACTAGTAGTGCGGTATCAGATAGGAGTCTAGTACAGTAGTTCTTTATTATTATGTTATGCGGTCAGTAAGTAGTTATAGTAATAGCGGATCACTAGTAGCGGTTGCAGTTAGATATTACAGTAAAGCAGTCACGTAGCGGTAGCAGTAGAGTAGTAGTATACGGTCACAGTGTCGTGGGAGTAGAGTTAGTAAGTATATCCGGTAGCAGTAGAGTTCGTAGTTAGTAGCAGCCAGTAGCTGTTAGCAGTAGAGTAGTAAGTAGATTAGCGTCACAGTAGGCGTTAAGCATAGAGCATAGTAGTAGGGCATTCACAGTAGCGGTAACAGTAAAGTCGTAGTAGTAGCAGCTCACAGTAGGCGTAGCAGTAAGTAGTAGTATTAGCGTCACAGGTAGCGGTGCAGTAGAGTAGTTATGTAGCGTTCACAGTACGTAGCAGTAATAGTTAGCTAGTATAGTAGCAAGTCACAGTAGCGTTACATAGATATAGTAGTAGCGGTCCACAGTACGTAGTTAGTAGGAGTGTAGTAGTACAGTCACTTGTAGCGTAAGCATGTTTATTTTATTTTAGTATTAGTATAGTCAGTCAAGTAGGGTAGCAGAGAAGTAGTAGTACGTATCAGTCACAGTAGCGGGGCAGTAGAGTAGTAGTAGTAGGTCGGTCACTAAGTAGAGCGGTAGCAGTAAGTATTATAGTAGGCGTCCAGCAGTAGCGGTAGCAGTAGAGTATAGTCGTAGCAGTCAGAAAAAAAAAAAAAAATAAAAGAAAAAGAAAAAAAAAAAAAGAAAAAAAAAAAAAAAAAAAAAAAAAAAAAAAAGGATTAAGTCGGTAGCAGTAGAGTAGTAGTAGTAGCAAGTCACGTAGCGGGTGGCAGTAGATGTAGTAGTAGTAGTAGCAGTCACTTAGTACGTAGTTTTCTAGTAGTAGTGTATAGTTAAAAAAGCGGTCACAGTAGCGGTAGCAGTAGTTAGTAGTAGTAGCAGTACAGTAGCGGTAGCAGTAGAGATAGTAGTAGTAGCAGCAGCATAGCGGTAGCAGTAGAGGTAGTTAGTAAAGTTAGCAGTCACAGTAGCGTGGCAGTAGGAGTAGTAGTAGTAGCGTCAACGTAGCGGTAGCATAGAGTAGTAGTAAGTAGGCAGTCACAGTACGGTGGCAGTAGAAAGTATATTAGTAGCAGTCACAGTACGGTAGAAGTAGAGTAGTAGTAGTAGCGGTCACTAGTAGGCGGATAGCAGTAGCAGTAGTATGTACAGTCACAGTAGCGGTAAGCAGTAGAGTAGTAAGGTAGTAGCGGTCACAGTAGCGTATTCATGTTTTTTTCCCCAGTAGAAGTAGTAGTAGTAGTATCACAGTAGCTGTATCATTAGTTTAAGTTTAGTTAGTAGTTAGCAGGTTGTGTTTTTTTTTTTTTCACAGTAGTTCTGTTTATGTAGTAGAGTGTAGTAGAGATCCAGTAGCTGTAGCTAATGTTAGAATAGTAGTTTATTAGAGTTCACAGTAGCGGTAGCAGTAGAGTAAGCATACGGTCAAGTAGTGCGTAGTGCAGTAGATGTAGTAGTAGTAGAGTCACATTAGAGGTCGCATAGAGTAGTATAGATAGCGGTGCAGCAGTAAGCGGTAGTCATAGAGTAGTAGTAGTAGCAGTCACAGTACGGTAGCAATGTAAGTAGTAAGTAGTAGCGGTCACAGTACGTGGCAGTAGTATAAGTAGTAGTAGCAGTCACAGTAGCGGTAGCAGTAGAGTAGTAGTAGTAGCGGTCACAGTAGCGGTAGCAGTAGAGTAGTAGTAGTAGCAGTCACAGTAGCGGTAGCAGTAGAGTAGTAGTAGTAGCAGTCAAGTAGCGGATAGCAGAGAGTAGAGTATTACGTCACAGTAGGTAGCATAGAGTAGTAGCAGTAGCATCCAGTAGTTCGGCGGGTAGTAGAGTAGTAGCCAGACAGTACAGTACGTAGCAGTAGAGTAGTAATAGTAGCAGCCAAGTAAGCGTGGCAGAGAGTATAGCAGTAGCAGTCACAGTACGTAGCGCTAGTAAGTATAGAGTAGTCAGTCACATAACGGTAAGCGAATAGAGTAAGTAGTAGTAGGGCAGTTACAGTAGCGGTAGCAATAGAGTAGTAGTATTTAGCAGTCATCAGTAGCGGTAGCAAAGTAGAGTAGTAGCAGTAGCATCACAGTAGCGTAGCAGTAGAGAGTAGTAGTAGGCGGTCAGAGTAGCGTAGCAATAGATAGTGAGTAGTACCGTAATAGCGGTATCCAATAGAGTAGTAGTAAGTAGCAGTCACGTAGTCGTAGCATTTAGAGAGTAAGCATAGCAGTTCACAGTAGCAGTGTAAAAATAGAAATAGTAGTAGTAGGCAGTCACAGTAGCGGTAGCATGTAGATTAGTACGCAGTAGCAGTCACAGTAGGTGGCACGTAGAGATTTAGCAGTAGAGTCACATGTGCGTAGCAGTAGAATTAGTAGCAGTAGTCAGTCACAGTAGCGTGGCAGTAATAGTAGTAGCTAGTAAGCAGTGCACAGTAGCGGTAGCAGTTAGCAAGTAGTAGTATAGCAGATCACAGTAGAGGTAGCAATAGAGTAGTATAGTAGACAGTCAACAGTAGCGGTAGCAGTAGAGTAGTAGCAGTAGCTCACCAGTAGCGGAGCAGTAGAGTAAGTAGTAATTAGCGGTCCACAGTAAGCGTAGCAGTCAGATTTAGTAAAGTAGACAGTCACAGTAAAGCGGTGGCAGTAGAGTAGTAGTAGATAGGCGGTCAAAGTGAGCGTAGGTCAGTAGAGTAGTAGTATGCAGTTCACAGTACGGTAGCAGTAGAGTAGTATAGTACAGTCCACAGTAGTCGGTAGCAGTAGAGTAGTCGTAGTAGCAGTCAGTAGCGGTAAGCAGTAGATAGTAGTAGTACAGTCACAGTAGCGTAGCAGTAGAGTAGTATAGTAGGGTCACAGTAGCGGTACGTATAGTAGTATGAGTAGGTCACAGTAGCGACAGTAGAGTATAGTAGTAGTTAGTAGTAGCCAGTAGCAGCATAGTAGCAGTGAGTTAGCAGTAGAGTAGTAGCATAGCAGCATAGCAGTAGAAGTCACAGTAGCGTTAGCAGTAGTATAGATAAGTATTAGCGTCACAAGTAGCGTAGCAAGTAGAGTAGTACAGTACGTCACAGTAGCGTAAGAGTAGAGTAAGTAGTCATAGCGGTTCAGCAGTAGCGGTAGGGCAGTAGAGTAGATAGCAGTAGCAGTCACAGTAAGCGGTAGCTTAGTAGAGTAAGTAGGCAGTAGCAGTCCAGTACGGTAGCAGTAGAGTAGTAGTAGTACCGGTCACAGTAGGCGTAGCAGTAGAGTAGTAGCATAGCGTACAGTACGTACAGTAAAGTAGTAGCAGTAGGCGTCACAGTACGGTAGAGTAAGTAGCAGTACAAGTCAGTCAGTAGCGGTGGAGAGCAGTAATAGCATAGCAATAGCAGTAGTACAATAGGCAGCATAGGCCGTAGAGTAGTGCAGTAGTCAAAGATTCAGTAGAGGCTATAGCATATAGCAATAGCAGTAGTATGCATTGGCAGTACTTAGCAGTAGAGTAGTAGTAGTAGACAGTAGTATAGTAGATAGCAGTAGCAGTAAGCAACAGCAGCAGGCAGGGCAGCAGCACAGCAGCAGCAGCAGCAGCACCAGCAGCACATTATGCAGTAGCAGTATGTAGTAGTAGTAGTAGCAGTAGTATTAGCAGTCGCGTAGCAGAACCAGTAGTAGCATTACAGACACAGCACAGGCACATGAGGCAGTAGCGCAGTAGCAGTAGACAGAGTCAGTAGTAGTATAGTGAGTAGTAGTAGTAGAACAGTAGTCTAGCATAGCGTAGACGACCAGTAGTAGCAGTCGTCAATAGCAATAGCAGTATATGAGCAGCAGTAACATAGTGCAGTGTTAACATGTGTTTTGCAGGTGTTGCATAAATTAGTCAGCTAGGCTGGGCTGGGGGGGTTGTTTTGGGGGTTGTTTGGGAGGAGTAGCCATAGTAGTAGGAGTAGCAGTGGTGGCATTAGAAATTGCAATGCCAAACCCAGCTCTAAGAAATGGTCATGCATTGAAACAGCATGCGTGCTATTATTATTGTTATGATTATTATATTATAATTACTATTAAATTATTGTTATTTGGCCAATTATTATCTTTATTAATAAAATTATTATTTAATTATGCATTGAAGTTCAGGACAGGAAGTTAGTATAACAGCTGCACAACCGAAATTCATTAGTAAACGAATGTGAACGCACCTGCCCCCTGGTGAGACCGTCTGCAAACATTCCTGAGCAAGAGTCGTAGCTGTTTCGTCATCATACCAAAACTGACTTAGTTGCTGGAAGACAGACAAAGACAATGCTTTCCATCAGATAATGATAAACCATTCAAGATACTGCTATCATTATAGCATAGGCACTCAATATCGCAGTAGCATATAATAGTGACTATGTTTCCGTACATCAACTCTGCGTGGCTGGAAGGCAGATAAAGACTCACTCAATACATAAGATTATCGATCTATCACCAGCATACTATATCTTGATATATAAACAACTGAACATGTTACCAAGCATTTGATAATAGCAGAAACAAGCTATTAGGATAGTATTTTTGAATAATAAAATTAAAGTTAATTATCATTGGTCGATTAACATTAAATTTGATTTAATTTATTAAAAATTTGATCTTATAGGCAGACTTCGAAACAGGCGATTTTTACCCGACGCCAAATTTGTAATTTTAAAAATAGTCACATAGTGTGTGTGTGTGTGTGTGTGTGTGTGTGTGTGTCTGTGTGTGGTGGTGGTGGTGTGTGTGTCTGTGTGTGGTGGTGGTGGTGTGTGTGTGTGTGTGGGTGGGTGGGGGAAGGGGGCAAAGAAATGCATACATATTCATAGATATAAATAGATGTAGACATAGATGTAGAGCATAATCGAAACATCGAGTCGTGAATAACATATACCTGGTTGCCTGTACTACACATGCACTTGCTCTATCACTCTACATAATCCTACACTGATTGCAGTCGCCTATAATCATATGTGTGTGTACTTTTGTGTGTGTGCATGCGTGCGTGCATGCGTGTGTGTTTGTACTAGGGCTGAGAAGGGTCCATAGATTTCCAAATGGACAGAGTGACAGACAGACATCGATAGACTGATAGATAAAAGGTTATATTTGCAACAATTTTGCGAAAATAAACACACATGATGTCATCAGGCATGTATAAAATTGAAGTCAACGGTGTATTTACAAACACAGGCAAACATGACTGTTTGACACATGATCGGCTACACAACAAAGCTCATAGCCAGTCATACAGCTCTAACAACAGTATTACTAACAACTGTGCCTTCTAAATCTCTCTCAGCACTTTGACTCTCATGTTCTGTCATCGCATATGGTTGGCGCGATCGTACTCAGAAATAATTATTTTTACAGCGGTTAAATTATAGCCCTTTTACCCAATCAGAGGCCCTGATACACATAATTTAACTGTGGTTATTATTTGGTTAATTATGTGTCATAACTACCACGGTAAAAATAATTACATTTGAGTACGATGGCCAACCATAGCCGCTGACACCGTGACAGTTGTAGTAGCAGCAGTACTACAGTCCGTCCGTCCGTCTGGCTGTCCACTGGGCAGCAGTGGTCAGTGGTCAGTGGTCCAGCACAGCCGTCCGTCTGTCCGTATGTCCGTCCGTCCGTCTGTCCATTCGTCCATCCGTCTGTCTGTCCGTCCGTCCGTCCATCTGTCCGTCTGGCTGTCCGCTGGGCAGCAGTGGACAGTGGTCAGTGGTCCAGCACGGCCGTCGGGTAGTTTGCATAGCAGCGGAATTCGTTCGCGAGATTGTTCTTGTGCCGTGGCACGTACGTGCATAGTCGGGCGCCGAGCAGCTCCTCCGCCAGCGGTCCCATCGTCTCACCTGCAACACACACGCAAACTAGTGAACCGGTGGCAGTCTAAAACAGCTCGGCCCGGCGCGTGTCTCCCTATTAATCTTCATGCGTATCGTAGAATTTGCTTTGCCTGTGTTTGAGGACGTCCCAAAAATACACAATAATAATTAGTTAGAGCTGCCTATCTGTCAGTCATGCCAGATGGAAGGATGAATATCCTTTATACATACATGTATATAATATATATAATATAATATATATATATAGAGAGAGAAGAGAGAGAGAAGAGAGAGAGAGGAGAGAGAGGAGAGAGAGAAGAGAGAGAGAGAGAGAGAAGAAAGAGAGAGAGAGAGAGAGAGAGAGAGAGAGAAGAGGAGGGAGAGAAGGAGGAGGGGAGGGGGAGG